GATTAAAAAAAATGGAAAAGAAAATAATTATTACCTCATAATCATGTAAAAAAAAAAGTATATCAGAGAATTTAAGTTATATACATTGTTCCATCGAAAACAATATTCTCTCCATCTAACAAAGAGAGTAAGGTTTGCCGACAGCCTCCGGCCTCCTCGGATCTCACTGCTATATTATATTATTGTTATGATTGTATATAGATACTGTAAAAAAAATTATCGCTATTAATGAATTTGACATTCAAAAGTAATTTCTAAAATATTTATTCATACTATATATTATTTGCAAATATTAGAGAAATTATCATAATTAGGTTTAATACGATCGATAAAAATTCCTAGCCCCCTCAACGAGGAGATCCATGTTTTTCATTCTAGATAATTCCACATTTAATTTTTTTCCACAAATATAATATTATATACATATATATCACAAAAAAATCAAAAACAAAAAAAGTATTATATTGTATGTTTCTTAACCGTTAATTAAGAAATTGAAAACTATGGGTAACATTATTGTCAAAATCTTACTTTTCATAAAATAATTTCACATTTTCCAAGTTTGAAAATTCATAGGGTTTCATATTAGTCTAGTTCAAAACCTATTTTATTTATTTCCCAACTACAAAAATCAAAATAAGAGAACCTTCAAAGTGAACCTTCTTTTACAAGTACCATGTAGCTCGGTGCACACAATATTTTATGTTAGCAGGATTTAGGGAATAGCCGCACCTCAAGGACTGTGATAGATAGTCAATTCTAATACAAATATTAGTGATTATTTTCATGGCTCGAATATGTGATGTATATATCACACTGAAATAACTTAATTGTACGTTAATCCCAAAGAAATTTCAAATTGAACCTTCTTTTATACATAGGGTAATTCGGTGTACACAACATCCCGCGTTAGCAGAATTTATGGAAGGACTGCACCACAAGGATTGTGAATTTGTGATATAGACTATCATAACCCTAATGCAAACATTCGTGATTGTTTTCATGACTCAAGCTCGTAATCTATAGGTACGTTGGTCTGAAGAAAATTAATAATGACTTTTTTTTTTGTTTGGGGTGCAAATTCAACTATGTGATGTTAACACGTAGTAGACTAGGTAGATTGAGTCCAATATATTCTCGTTAAAATTCAGCTATCAATTGATTTAGATTGACTATTATATTATAAGATAAGATAATTTTAAAATATTATTAGACATGACATTTCAGAAATATTAAAAATATATAGTAAGTAATATATTTAGACTTGGAAGTTTCTTGTGTTAAGGAAGAAATCTGATTGTTTCAAAATAAATATTTTAATTTATCTGTCAAATTTTATATTAATACTGTCACTATTTGAGGATTGTAATAGGATCAAATTGTCTAATTATAGGGTTGAATTTGAACATGGTATCAATCTGGTGTCTTTTTTCTTTTTAGCAAATTAAAGTTTAGCTTATTTTTACAGTGCGATAATTGAATTGGTACAATAGGTGGTACCATATATAATGCATAAGAGTGGTCAGAGATTGATTTCCTTATCAACGTCTTCTCAATCGAGCTCATCGTATTAAACTTGCTTAGTGTACTATACTTTTCATGTATGATTTGTGAGTTATTATACAAAAATAAATTTATCTAGAATGCATCCAAAAAATAATAACTACGATTTGCCCGATGGTCAAAAGAAAAAATCAAATGCACTTTTTAATTTTCTTAATCAACTGAATCTTCTATAGCAATAAAAAAAATTAACATATTCAAGAAAATCTTAACAAAGAAGAAATAAGCCATTTGACTCTTAGCTCCAAATGATTTTTTGTGGACGAAGTGTATAGATATTCAATTTCGAGACCACCATTTAAGTCATATTTGTAAGGTTTCATATCCAATTCGAAATAACTTTAAATATGTAATATTTTGAAGTTTTCATATGACAGAAATTTGTGTATATATGCCTGAATTTGTAAGAATTTTTAACGAGTAGATGCAAGTTAAATAGCGATGTTCAAATAAGGTACCTCGTGAAAGTTTTACTATTTTTGACTTGGGCAAACTACATAAATCCCACTAGTTTAGGTCCTAATTACTAAGATTCCCAATAGTTTCAAATATTACTTCCTCTACCATATTTCATACTTAGGATACATGGGTTTGAATTTGTGAGATACATGTATCTGCCGAATTTTAAAATTGAGATACGTATTTTATTTTTTAAAATTAATTGATTGTAACTGATTTCCTTAATTAGAGGAGTAATTGATGATTTTTAGAATATATGGGCAATTAATTCTGGAAATTAAATTAATCAAATCTCTTAATATAGGGCAAATCAAGGAGTGTATTTATGTTTAATTAATTTCATTTATTATTCTTTGAAATAATAAATTCATTAACATTATTATTAATAAAAAACAAAAACATGTATATCTTGGTCATGTAATTTGATTAATTTCATTTTATTACTCTTAAAATAATAAATTCATTAATTTGATGTATCATGTATCCTATAAACTAAACACTTAGATACATGAGTATCATACAAGTACATTCATACGTATAATAGAAGTATCTAGTATTAATTTTGTGTATTTGCTATATGTGTCTATTATTAATTTTATGTATCTATTTATATGATCTAATTTTAATTTCATGTATCTTTCATATGTATCTAGTGTTAATTTGATGTATCAAGTATCAATTTCATACATTATATTCAAAAACGTGTATCTCGAATACATAGTAAGTTGTAAGCATATACATAAATTATGTGTATCTAAATATGGAATGTAATTGAAACAATTGAATTTAGGAACTACTCACGATGTTAGAGTATCTGCCTTATCACTAATCCAAAAAAAAAAAGTAAAAAATTTCAAAATTCTTCCTTTTTTTTAGCATCTGATTTTTTTTCTCACAAATACATATAAGTTTAACTTAGATACATCAACTCTTAACTAGATACATGTACATCTGATGTGTATCCAACATTGTTGCATATCTAATAGTGTATTTATTATGTTAAGTAAAGCTTGGCATAACTCTTCCCTCTTGATTGAGTCGTTCCTATACTTAGATCTATTCTCGGCTTGAATGTTAACGGATGAAGAGTCAGTCCCTACAATGAAAAACTCATGAGTGAAAATGACAAATAGAAGTTGTTTGATTTAGTATAATATTGTTAATGTGTAGTACCTTTAACAAGAATCATCTGATTTTGAGAATGACCAACCATTAAAGTATTTGAGAAACAACAAAATAAAAAAATATAAAACCTAATTTATAGAACTTTTTAAAATTGAATGTCAGAACATTATGAACTTTAACTCAGATACAAAACCAAGATACATGAGAATAATAAAATAATAGAAACAAACATATATGTATAATGTTGATTTGAACATGTAAATATGTATTGAGAGGATGAAGGAAGAAAAAGGGAGAAGATGGAGGAAGAATGAGGGTTAGTGGATGTGGGGTGGGGAACGGCAGGTGTGATTTATGTGATAAAAAATTTGGGTTGTTAATGTGGACCATTAATTAAGGAGATTAAATTTAAGATAATTATCCAATATCATATTTAAGGAATTTGTGTATCTAATTAAATCTTTTAAAATATGTGGTATAAATATTAAAAGTGGTAGTATATGTAATTGTTTTAAACTAGAGGTAAATATAGTATATATGGTAGTGATGTATGTGTAGTTAGGTAGTTTTTCCTTTCGGGTTTATACAAAATAAAATGTGTGCCCATGATTAAAAGTCCAATACAAATCATGTTGAATAACTAATTGGGCCAATCTTGGGCCAATTTTGAACCCAAATAAAAGGCCCAAATCATTTTAGGAATGAAGTGGGCTTATTCATGTTTGATTAACCCAACATTATAGACATCACTTGCAGAAATAGCCTTATTTTCCCACTATTTAACGCAACATATAATATGGCCTTTTCATTCGTTTAATTGTTCCCTTTTGAGTAATTGCACGATTTGTCCTTCAAATGATTGCTCTTTAAATTTTACCCCTAGAAATTGAACTTATGCCGAGTGGGATATTTTGATGCAAAAATATAAATGTATGTCCACAAAAAAAGCTATTTGTCCTCGAGGGGTAAAAATTAAAGACCAACACAAAATCGGAATACAAGTACCAACGACCCTTCCCCTTTTCAATTGATCCATTATATATGGATCGTCTTTTCTTTTATGTTATGGATTTTGTATTTTAGTCTCTCAGTATTGGGCCTATTTTGGCAAAACCAAAAGTAAGAATAAGAAGTTAAATTCAGCCCAGAGACCATGTGTCAAAGGCCTGGATTAATACATTTGCACAAATAGCATCTTTTAGTGCCACCATTTAAATTCTAATCCCACTAAAAAAAAGTCTTGAGAAAATGGCCTACACGATTGTCATATGACTTATTGTGATTCGTCATAATTTCTAAGTAGCGATCACAAGTATTTCTTTTTCGATAATCGATACTAATTAAAACCTGCCTAACAACATGATATCGCGATTCATTAAAAGTTCTAATCAAATTCTCACGAATTATCATAAGTTTTCAGTTATTTGTAGCTAAAATCCTGACAACTCGTTAAGATTTATGGCCAAATAATCTTAGTGATGTGCATAAATTCACCAACACTTTTTTTTGCAAAATCGACTCAAATAACTTCAATTTTAGTATACAACTTTCTATTAGCAGTCTCAATAATTTTTAATGATGAAACTCAACGCAAACCTTTAAAAAACAACAATATCAGTTCTGAATCAAGAATGTATCGAAAACAACATTTTCTAGCCCACAAAAATAGAGATAAAATTTTCTTATAATCACTTATTCTGAAATTCACTTGTAAAATTAAGCTAAATATATTGTTGTTATGGTGATAGAATTAAAAAAAAGAGCTAACTTTTTAAATTAGCTAAACTCCCTTGATGGCAAGTCCTTATGGGTGCCGCAATAATCCAACACTAGTAGATTCTGTCCTTGTTCTAGTCGGCGAAGTTTCCTATTAGGCTATTACTTGTCACCTCTTCTTCAACAACAACAACAAAATCCCTTCATATATTCACTTAATTCTACCAAAGTTGTCTGCGTTTTCACTTTTCTGAATATGGGTCTTTGGGATTCTTTGCTCAATTGGCTTAGAAGGTAATAAAGTTTTGTTCTTTTTGTATTTTCAAGAAACCCCTTTTGATTTGTTCCCCTTGTTTGGTTGAAACAAATATGGAGAATTGGAAAATTTTATGAATTGTTATGTATTTGCTTTGATATAGCATGCTTGTTTACTCAATAGTGAGGGGAGGGGAGGGGAGGGGAGGGGAGGGGGGAATTCCTCTGTTTTTTTGTTTGTCTGTTTTGATTGATGTGAGAAAGGAAATTTTGAGGTGAAAAGTGGAAATTGGAGATTTTAGTTGTTCTTGTATCTTTTGTTTGGTTTGTTCTCTTTTATGGTTGATGAATTTTGTTTATCTTGGCATAAACTTGACTAGGTAGGGGTAAGGTTTGTGTAGATACCACCCTCCTGGAGAGTGGTGTAGCTACATTGACTCAAGGGTGGTCACTCGATCACCCTTTGTCGAAAAATTATATTGTGCGTATAGAAAATGATGTTGTGCATATAAAAAATGATGTTGCGTATATAGGTCAAAAACAACTTTTTAGAGATACATACTAAAGTTTTGAACACTCTTAAGCAAAATTCCTAACTAAACAATACTTGTGGGGTTACACGGGGTATGTTGTTGGCAGTAGCTTGACTAGGTAGGGGTAAGGCTGCGTATGCAACACTCGTCAGACCCCACTTGTGGGATTACATGGGGTAATGTTGTTGTGTTGTGGCATCAGCTTGACAATTTCAAGAACTTAAAAGAAAGTTACTTTGATTGAAATGTAAAAAAGCTATGATCTTGATAATCAAATACTATTCAACAATATTATTGGGTAGAAGCTTAGTAGTTAGTCAAGTTTTGTCTAGTTAACGTACATTTTGTTGTCGCTATGCATTCTTTTCTTATTTGTTTTCAGCATGGATCCGTCGCTAGTGTATTTATTTTACTTACTTGATTTTTTTATATGCTTTACTCGAGCCGAGAGTCTATCAGAAACAACCTCTTTACCTTCACAAGGTAGGGGTAAGGCTATGTACACACTACCCTCCCCAGACCCCTCTTGTGGGACTACATTTTGTATGTTGTTGTATTTTTGGGATTTTACTTTTTCTTATTTGGACAGTTCTCTTTTGGTGGAGGTGCTCATGGAGCATAGTTATAGATTGTGTTGTTTTACAGTAAGTAATAGCATTAGCAGTTCGACCAGTAGCTCCTCCTAAGTTTGATTACTCTACTTCTGTTATCACAGGTGTTGTTTCAGCTCGTTGTTTTTCTTTTTATGGTTGGTAGAAGAATAATAGCTCATTTTTGGTCCTTAGCAATTAGTGTAACGAATCACGGGAGCTACATCATGTATACCATATTGTGGTCTAGGAAGATCCCAGTCTAATGATAGGTGAAGAAATTTAGCAAGCTTTATAGCAAAGACTAACGGAATAACAAAGACTAAATATGTACCGGAGAGAATTATTTAATTAGTGAACTATTTAAATTGCACCAATGCCAAAAGCGGGAAGATATAGATAACTTTCTGTTCTTGGACTAGTTTTTCTTCTATAGTGACGTAGAGAATCTCTGACGACTTATTCCGAATTTCAGAATTTGTCTTAGAGCTATGCTGCAGAAAGTTCTTCGGTCTATAGCTCATTTGAAACCTTTGTTCGGTCAATGCAAGAAAGAGAGAAGTGATAGAAACATAAGAACGGTTAGCAGATTTTATCAAGAATAATTTAAGGCGAAGGCCTATCTTGCTCTATTAGCATTGTAATTATGTCATCCTTCTAGTTCCGTCTTCTTTAGGTAGTAATCTAAGTTGCTCGGACTCTTCACTTTCGGGGCAGCACCCGTGTTGACACGACGTGAGCATGGGATCCGTACCGGATATGGTCAACAGATTTTGGGTACTTTGACCAAAATCGACAGAGAAATTCGGGGAAGATACAGTGATTTTTGTAATAAAAGTTTCGGTACAGATACAATGATTTTCATAATAAAAACAAAAGCTAAGGTGAAATTGAAGAAAATGGAATACCTTGTATATAGAAATTTCTATTGTAGTCATTTTCCTTATATCTCCTTCTGGGATTCTCCTCCGAATCAATATTTTCTCCTTGGAATACTTTGTTAGTTTTCTACATAACGTCCCATCATTTTGACATGCAACTCTATTTTTTATCCAAATCCCCATAGCTTGCATGTGGCTGGTGTTCTTTCAATAATACTGAGGATAACTTTTATAGTAAGGAACATGACACTAGGTAATTATGTATAAATTCAGGAGAAGGCAATATCTATGTGCTAACCAAACAAGCGACTATTCTAAATATATCTTCACATGCTTATCAGTGATTTGATAAACGTGAATGTCGAATCAGATTACTTACCAAAAAAGAAATTCGTATCAGTTATGTGAATTTGTTAATTTCTTTTGTACTTTTGAAGCACCTTTTTGGTATTAATCGTCCATATAATACTTTACCTTATCAAAAATAATGTTGTATCAGATATATGCAGTGTCTTAATCAAAATGCCGTTGAGTGCTAATGAGTGATGATTTTATTGAAAAAATTATGTGTGGGTATTCGCGGTGTTTCAGATGTTCTGCAACCGTGTAAACTATTGTTGTATTATATTATGTGATGATACTACTACCATAACTGGATGTCGCTCTATTGGATTAGTCTGGGAAACTTAAACAGATATTACTATTCAAGTTGGTCTGTGTAAACTCAAATTCATGTTGTTGGAAGAATGACTCGTGCTTTATTCTTTATGTCGTTTGATCCTGAGTGACATTGTCGATATCTAAGTTTTCTACATGTTTCCTTGTTTAGCCTATTTTTTAAACAGGAAATGGAACTTTCCCTGATAGGCCTTCAAAATGCTGGGAAGACATCTCTCGTCAATGCTATTGCTGTGAGGACATTATATGCTCTCTCTCCTCTTCCATCTCTCCCGACCCCTTTTTCATTTAATTGGCAACGTTTTTTGACATTAGATATTTTGATCTTTATCAGACTGGAGGCTACAGCGAGGACATGATACCGACGGTCGGTACCTTTTCCTCACTGAATTAAACTAGTATTCTTGTCTTCTTTCATTTACTTGCTCAATGAAGTTTCTCCAATTAGGTTGGATTTAATATGCGCAAAGTAACAAAAGGAAATGTGACCATAAAACTATGGGATCTTGGAGGCCAAAGGAGATTTCGCACGATGTGGGAGCGCTATTGTCGGGGTGTCTCTGCGATATTGTAATTTCTAATCTTAATCTCTGTCCTTATCTGTCTCCTCAATTTTTATTTTATTTTGTTCGTTTTTGGCTTACTACGATATGCATTTAATGCTTTTGCCTGATTTCATGATTTTGACATCTCTAACGGATGAAATTTCTCCTGATGTGAAATATGTATCTTAAGTTCCTGTAATGAGGTCCAAGGTGTGCAAATTATATGAAGTCATAAACCGCTCGTTTTATAGTCTATGTTGTTTTCCGTTCGTGGCGACTGCCGGGGGAAGTACTCGGTGCTGTCTCTTTTGTGATCCTGTTATTTTCCCTGCCTTAAGTTAACATCATTACTGTTAGTATTAGTTGGGGTGTGTCATACTGGCGCTTGCCTCGTCCTTGTCATTCTAGTTTGATGGCATATGTCCATATGATACTTAGGGGTTGTTTGGTTCAAAACAAGGATATCCCAAGATCATAAGCCCCCATCCTATATGGGGTAGATAATACCAAGATTTGGTAAATTTATTCCGGTTTCAGCTAATACCAATAACCAAACGCAGAATAATTGTAATTATGTAATCCTAAAAATTTTATACCCGGGATAAGGAAAACAATTCAGCGCTATTACAATAACCAACTTCTCAGTTCTAGCCTCTGCTCTTTGTTCGAACTTTTCCTTATTAGCAAGGATAATAAGCAACAAAATCCAATGCTACAGAACAGTTTAACAAATTTTTTTCCCTGTAAACTTCCTTTCATTTGGCCTGAGTAGTGACCATGTTCGTTTCAATCCAACTTTTTTTGACGAAAAGGAAAGCTTAACTTTGAGGCGTTGAGTACGAATTGACTGTGCATTACATATTCAAATTGAATTGACTCGGGATCTTTTATGCGACAGGTATGTCGTTGACGCTGCTGATAGAGACAGTGTACCTATAACAAGAACTGAGTTACATGAACTTTTGAAGAAACCTTCATTAAGTGGAATTCCTTTGCTCATCTTGGGAAACAAAATTGACAAATCAGAAGCTCTTTCGCAGCAGTCATTGGTCGATCAACTGTAAGTCGCTGAACATTAACCTTCACGTAAGAAATTATTTCTTTGCCAGAATACGTAGACAGACACCTAAACTTGTCGCGATTTTTCATCTAGACGCCTAAGCTAAGGGTCTGACCTATTAAAAACTTTATATTGTAAAAAAATGTACCTAAAAGTAAAGTATAATACATAGATAGCCACCTAAACTTGGTCTCAACCAACAACAAAACACTCCAACTTTGAAAATGCACATCTAGAGACCTTAACTTGGTTTAAGTTGGCTCCATAAACGCCTCAACTTTGAGAATGCACCCCCTTAAAGGTGTTAATATGTGCATTTTCAAAGTTAAGGTGTTCATGAGACGCACCTGTGTCAAGCTGAAGTGTCTAGATGATCACAATGAAAGTTGGAGTGTTCAACTCCCCGTGTAGGCCAAGTTAAAGTGTCTGTCTATATATTATGCCTAAAAATAAAGAAGGCGAGTTGATAAAAAGAATGGTTAGTAATCAAAATTCAGGCACATTTTCGACAGAACAAGGTGTTCAATTAGTCGGATTCTTAGTTAACTCGATTAAAGATCGTGACAAATTTAGGTGTCTGTCTATGTGTTCAGCCAATTTCTCTCTGTTAACTATTTGTTATGCTTGTTGAATCAGAGGTCTCGACTCAATAACGGACAGAGAAGTCTGCTGCTACATGATCTCGTGCAAGGATTCTGTAAATATCGATGCTGTTATCGATTGGCTAATCAAGCACTCAAAGACCGCGAAATGAAGAGCTGCCTCCGGGACATAATAATCTGGAAAAATAGAATGTAGTTCTTTGTGAGGATCTTGAAATGATTTGTTAATATATTTTCTGGCTGATCTTTCTTTTGTTGGTTCTATATAGTTTTTTTAGTTACAATTTTGTGTTATAAGTGCTTGAACAATCATACATCTTTTCATTATGAATTTGCATTGTTTGTCTTGCTTTCCCACTCATGCGACTATACTGGGTATGTTGTTTGTTGTCATGCTTCTACGATTACACTCGGATTTTTTCCCCATTAATCGAGGGCCAGCTGGTGCACGGTTCAAAATGGGTGAATAAGAAGTCTGTTCTACCTTTTCCCACTTAAAACCAAGTTTTTGGTTCGTGGCAGCGTTTAAACTCGTAAACTGCATGTCTACCTCCATGAAGTAGTGGTAAGTCTTGCACATATTCTATCCTTCATCCTTTTTTATTGCGTTCAAAAATCTTAAACAAAAGAAATATGAGATTTATGCGAAAGTAGAAATCGTAGAATAATCAAACAACAACCAACTAATATGTCTTAGCTACAAGCAAGTTGGAGTGGACGATATGAGTTTTCTAAGAGATTATACTTTTCTCTTAACGGAAGGGGCATATCTTCCCCTTGAACAACAGTTTCATTCGAATTCAGTAATTTCAAAAATGCATTGAAATTTACAAACATGTTATAACTTAACTCATAATAAAATTACAATAATCTTTGAAAATTTTGAGTTGTCAATGTAAATATATAATTAAACACAACATGATAGGCACATGTATAAAACATTATAATATTTCTAAAAGAATAATAATAATAATTCAAAACAATGCAATTTGTCTTGAATTAGTTTTCCCAATGAACGCTTGACGACGCCGTTTCTTCTTCTTCTTGTTGAATATCAAAGGGAAACTTTGATAAATTTTCACCATATAGATATGGCCTAGCTTTGATCAATCTACATTTAAATAAAATAAAATAAAATGTTAATATAACATAAAAATAATTTATAGGTATCTCCCTCTTTAAATAAGGTTTTCTTTGGAAAAAAAAAAAAAAAATCAAATTGATGTTAAAACACATTTACAAAATCAATTTGATCGTAGAGATAACTTCACAGATGATCACTTATTATTTATTTTATCATTGAATAAAATTGAGTGATATCTTGGTTGCAGAAAATGTTTATCGACTTTCATTATATTTAAATAAAGTTGAGTGATTTTTTTGTTATGAGAAACAACCAGCTCGAAATTAAATACCTATGCTTTCTCTTCTCCAAAAATCGGGCAAGAGTTGCTCTACGAGCCATAGCAAGTGCTGCAATTAAATACAAATTTATAGGTTTATTAAAATAAAATAAAATTAAGAAATAATAAAATCAAATTAAAAAAAAAAAAAAAAAAACAAGATAAATACCTCCTTTAGCATAATTTGTGGATGCATTTGAAGGGTCTGATTTATTTTCTTCATATTTTTCTTTATTCATCACTTTTTCTAAAATCTCATCCATGTGGAGAGTTGTTGATTTAGAAACCAGGTCAATTATTTGCTCAGCCTATACAATTTTAAAAATATATATATAATCAGAACATCACTTCTAAAGTTTTTAAAAATAGATGCATAGAGAAAAATAGATATAAATTAAAGAAATAATTCAAAGGACCTTTTCTGGTGAATAATAATAATAATATATTTAGTATAATCTCGTAATAGTGTCTAGGGAGGGTGATCAATGTGTACGCAACCTTATGCTCTTACGGGCATTGAATAAGGCAGAGAGACTTTTTTTTTCTGATAAACCCTTAACTTAAGTTAAGCATATTAAAATAAGTAAGCAAAGAAAATACAGTAATGAAGAAGTCACATTGAAAATAATGAAGAAAACAATAACAAAAAATATTAGTACGATAACCGAAATAAAAAAAACAATAGTTAATAATAAAATCCAAAAATAAGATAGTACCTTTTCTGGTGATATACCCGGAAAAATATGGACATCACCCATGTAGAATATGGTCAATGTTGACTCATTTGGACTCCAATTGTCATAATTTTTCCTGCAAAAATAATTGTTTCGAATTTTTAAAAAAAACAACTTTGATTTTTTGGTAAAATATAATTTTTTTTAAATATGGAAAAATAACATAATAATAAACTATGAAAATACCTTGAGTCATAAGTGCTTGTTTTTGCTACTAGAGGAAAAGCCCCTCCAAAGTATTGGGGGTCATTGGTGGATTTGTAATTGTTTAGGGATGAATTTTTTGAATTAATGGAAACTATTGGGGTGGAGTTGTAATTCTGAAAAATAGAAGAAGAAAATTAGATTTTAAAAAGATTAGTTTATTAGAATTTGTATAAATGAAGGAAATAATTATAATTAAATAGGGAAATATGAATAACCTGAAAAAATGTGTTTTCATGATGAGTAGCTAAATCAGCCAATGAAAATGGCCACTTCATCCCAGAAGCTAAATGAACGAATATCGTGAGTTAGCTAGTACACAATTAAAGTAAATAGAAAACACGAAATAATATCATGATTTAAAAAGATTCAATCAAATTCAACAAGAAATAACAAAAAAAATTAATGAGGTACAACTAATTATAGTCCTTGGGGCAAAAATAGATATAGTTTTTAATTATGAATAAAAAGAATTAACATGTAACTAAAGAACGAAAAAAATGTTGAAAACATTATCGATGAGTCAAATTTTGACAGATTTCAAATCGAAAGTCCTACCAAAAAATAGATTGCTTAATTCACTAAAAAAATAATTTAGTACTTTTAAGTTATTGCTTGAATTTTAAATTTATAATTTCTATATATACATGTATTGTATCACGGTTAATAGGTAGATACATGGGTATTTTATAACAATCTTTAGTGAAGGTGAAATTCGAATCAATTTATATGTACTTTAATTATTGAATTATACACTTGTTACTTTCTATTCGAGTAGGTACTGAATAATTTTGTTTATCAAAACTTGAGCAGACAAAAAGAAGTCAATAAATACTCTTCATCTTATATGAATTTTAGACCCATAAACAGATAATAGAATTTTGACATTACAAATTCAAAATTTAAAGAAAATAACTTATTAGGTTCTGTCAAATTCGTAAATAAAATTATAGTTTCACCCTATTTAAACCTATTACCTCACTGTTATCCATCCACTTTATTAGACCTTACAATATCTATATCTATATATTCGGATAAGGTTATCATGATATAGTTTTTCTTTTTCTCATGCCATCAATTATTATAAAAATATATTATATATTAAAATAGATTTTCTGCATCACCTCTAAGTGTGCGATATCAATTTGTCCCTAAACCTTGTGTGAACAAATAATACTTGACTAGCATTTGACACCAAGTTCTCTTGGAAAATCATATTTGGGTGAAGTTTTTGGTGAAGTTTCACCATGTGTTTGGCCTAAATTTTCTTCAAAATATTTGATTATTTCAAAAAATATGATTTATACTCATAAGTTCAAAAAATTATTTAAAATACTCATAAATTTATATTATCATTTTATAATAAATATGTTGTTAAAAAATAACCTTATAATATCATTGATAACAGTCAACAATAACAAAATAACAGTATAGACAAGACAATACATTAATCGCATACTCAAATTTGTCACTAATTTAGCTATAATTATAACCCATTAAACACAAATTGTTCTTTTTTCTCAATTTCATCACTCAAATTAGAATTCAAACTTTTCTGAAGGAGGTAGTAACAAAATAATAGTTGGACTTAATAAATAATGGATTTTTTTTATAAAATATAAAAGTTTGGGGTAATTTTTGAATTTTTTTAAATTTCCAAATATTAGAACTTGGCTCAAATACTAGTTTTTTCTAGTATTTGGGAACTTGAGATACTTAGCAAATATATTTACCAAGTTATATTTGGTCCACTTCCCAAGTTTTTCTCAAGTATTTTTGGAGCCAAACGAGTCATTAATGCACCGATTTATTGTTTTTTTACAAATTAAACTACAAGAAAAAGACCAATCCAATAAAGACTATGACTAAATTATATAGATCTTCTACTTACTATGCAAGCCAAAACAATTGCAGAATTATGAATTTCTAAAATTAACATAAGAAAACTAACAATAAATTGGCTAGAGAAAAGATTCAAGTGAAAATCAACTTAATTACTTCTTTCGTCTCAAATTATTTGTTATGATTTATCATAATAACTATCTCAAATTATTATCATTTTAAAATTTTAAGACAAAATTAATTGTTCTTGAAAACTACAAGAACCTCAATTATGGGATGTGATGTTATAATTAAAAAAATACCTCCTAATTATATAAAAAAAAATCACCACAGATAATTTAAGACTGAATAGTAACAAATAAAGTTCACTTACCATATCTTTGAGATCTACTCATAATAAACCCTGATAAATGTTAGCACAAAGTATGGTTTTATAATAACCTTATACTATTTTTAAAAATCTACTAAAATTCCATAACAAACCTAAAATCAAAGAAGATTTTGTTTTTTTTTTTCCTTTTTTGTTGTTAAATATATATTTTAAAAAATAAATTCTTTGTACCTCTTTTGTGTTGCTTCTCCATTTCTGATAATTGTGGTTTACTATTGAGGTCCATAAAATCAATCTCCATTCTTGAATCCATTTTTTTTTCACTTCCAAAGATTTATGAAACAAATTAAAAACTAGAAAATCAATTAAATAAGAATAAATATTCTTATTAAATTGTTAAGAAAGAAGAAGAAAATAGTAGCAAGTACAATAAAAGATAAAATTGAGAAGCTTCATGCAATAAGAAATACAAAATTTATGGAAGATAAAAATGAAGAAGAAGAAGAAGAAGAAGAAGAAACAACCATTAAAATTCTCTACATAAATAAATAAATAAATAAAATAAAATAAATTAGACAGAAAAAAAACGTGTTAATTGAATTGGTCCCTTTAAATTGATAGCCACAACTTGTTTTTTATTTTATTTTTTTGGGTGAAGTGCATCGTTGTTTTCATTGATTTGAAATTTGAAAATAAATAATTGGTTGATATTTAATCGAATAGTTCTTTTTCATTTCAATTTATCTGTCTTACTTTCCTTTT